TGTGTGTGTGTGTGTGTGTGTGTGTATCCTTGTATGTGTTTATATACGTGTGCGTATGTGCACATACAGAGGGGCATGTTATCTATACATGCACGTATTCTTTGATGCGCACATGACATCCCAGGAGACCGGCTGGGTGAGGCAGCTAGGACCCGGGGGCCGCACTTCCTGGACACTGTATTCCCAGGAGCACTTGCTCTCTGTCCCACGATTGCCCATGACCCTAGAGAAATCGTTTTCTTTTGCAATCTCCAAGGCAAAAAAAAAAGTGTTGGGGGCATGCTGTATGCGATGTAATATGGTACGCCTGTGAACACACAAGCATGGGGCTGGGAGCACACAAGACGGGTTTGCCAAGGTGGGCCAAAACTGGTTCCAAGTCCACGCACACATCAGGCCGTGCAGAAAGGTGGTGACTGGCAGACCTGACCCCGCATGTACTTAAGGAAACCTACTATGGTTATGTTAATTCTAATAGCAATAGGAATACAAATAATATTTTTGCTACCACTACTGCTATTGCTATAAAAACAGAAATAATAGTAGTAATAATACGCAGAGTAGTAGCAATAATATTATACCTACTAGATCTATTACTATTACAATAATAGAAGTAGCAAGAGTAGGAATAAGAACAACACCGCTACTGCTACTCTTGGCATTGCTACTACCGTTGCTACTATCATTAGAGCAGTAATAATAGCCATAGGAGAATCATTGCTATGATTGCTATAAGTAATAACACCACCATTCATAACAACAACAGTAGCAGTGATTGCCACAGTCATAATGACTACTACTAATTTTACATAGAGGCCTGTCCCAGCCTATCCAGACAGGCTCAGCACAGCCCTGTGCCCACACACCCACTGCCTTGGAGAAAGGCTTAAAAACAGGACACCCCCACAAAACACAGCACAAGTGGGCAGGATCCCTGCCCAGCTCTGTGTGGCAACTGGCAAAGCCCAGAAGCCTGGAACGACCCCGAGCAGAACGCAGGCACAGCTACGCCCGCGTCACCCCAACTAGTGGCTGTGCAGCCTCATGTCGAGGCCCCATGTCCCCACACTCTGGCATTTCTTTCAGGAAAGCTTTGGAGTTGCTCCCCGCGAAGGATCCAGCCCTGCGACCCCAGCTGGAGAGCGATGCTGAGGTCCATGGAGAACCTGGAGGGTGTTTGGTGCCGGACAAGAGAGGAAGTAGGCTTCCCTGGACCAGGAGAAAGGGGACATGCGAATCTAGCATGTACTTGCGCCCATGTGCGTCTGCCCTGCCCTGGGGCCTGGCTCTCTCTCTCTAGTGAGGAGACAGAGGCAACTTGAGCTCTGGGTGGCTGGGTGTTGCACCCTCGAACCAAACAGGTCTCCCAGTCTGCCTTTCCAGCTGACCCAGCACCCCAGAGGGACCTGCTTCTCTGCTCCCACCCAAGGCTGTTTGGGACAGGCAGCAGAGGTTCTGCTAGCAAAGCTGGAGCTGGATCCCAGGGTCTTAAACCTAGGATGTCTCTGGGGGCTGTATTTTATCTGGACAGGAACAATAGAAGCCAAAGCAAGCTCCTCCACATGAGACACAGTGTATTTGGATACTAGCAATCAGGGAACATTCTCCAGCCATGACAACATCCTACATTTGACCCAGAGGATGTCCTCATACTCTCTGCACTCTTCCCCAGGAGAGGCAGGACCTGCCGTAGACTGCCCCTCCTCCCTGCTGCCCACATTTCCCCCAGAAAAGGTACTCTACTGGACCGTGACTACAGGCTCCTTCCAAAGGGCAGGGGCCTTTCTGCACAGCAGTACATGGCAGTGAGGCCTCGAGTGCAGAGTTCTGGAGAGGATGAGAAGCAAAATCTGCCAGGCTGGGCTCGGGTGGAAGCAGCAGCTGCTTGCAGACCCTGACGGGCAGGGGAGGCCAAAGACAGGCCCTGGAGAAATTTGGAGCCAGGTGTCTGGGGGAGGGCACACCAGTGGGAAGGTGCTTCTTCGTCCCCGGGAGCACTGGCTGCTTTCACAGACTGATGGGGAAGGCACAGGCTCCAAGGCTGATATAAAGATTGCTTCTTGGCCCCTTGAAGGCTCAGGACAAGTGGAGTGGTTCCTCAACCTGGCAGGGGAAATACCTTGGATCAGTGTTCATGATGGCAGTTCTCCTGAACTATATCGCAGGAGAACTGCTCTTCTGCCGTGGTTCAGCACCCGTTGAAGTGTAGCGACTTTAAGCCCACTTTATGACAATGGGAGTCTCTTCCCTTGCTTGCTCCAAGGGCCTTATGGGTAAGGGCAAGTAAAACTCGAGGGCATCTGAACCCCAAGCCTCCAGGCTTCAGTCTGCAAATAGGATGCCCCCCAAAGGATTTGGAAACATCTGAAGCCCCAGGTGTGGGTGGAGGATGCTTGCTGGTAAGTAGGGCCACTTATGGTTCTGGACTCTTGGATTTGGAATTAGTTTTGGTTAATTTGGCATCAGCTACAAATTATTACAAAAAGTCTCTTTACAGGTTGCCGCAGCATCTGGGCTGGCCGCTGCCCAAAGTGTTTCCTCTGGCCCCTCCCCACAATCAAACCTTGACAACCAGCCTCTGGATCCTTCTAGTTCTGGGGTGCCCCACAAGGCCCGAAGGCTGTGTGAAATCTTTCTGTACTCCAGCAGGAGCCTGCTTGCCTGAATTCAGCCACCAGCGGGAAATGAGAAGGTAGGCATCCCCAAGCCTTCCTGGCACTGCTGGCAAAATTATGGATGCTCCCGGGTGTGGATGCGCTGGTATTTGCCCATGGTGGAGGACTTGCTGAATCTCTTCCCACACACAGAGAACTGATGTAGCTCTTCCCCTGTGTGGATCTGGATGACCAGGCTGGAGGAGTGGGTGAATCTCTTCCCACACTCAGAGCACTGATGTGGCTTCTCCCCTGTGTGGATGCGCTGGTGTATGGCCAGATGGTAAGAATGGGCAAATCTCTTCCCACACTCCGAGCACCGATGTGGCTTCTCCCCTGTATGGATGAGCTGGTGCCGGGCCAGGTGGGTGGACTGAGTGAAGTTCTTCCCACACTCCAAGCACTGATGAGGCTTCTCCTGTGTGTGGATGCGTTGGTGCCGGGCCAGGTTGGAGGACTGGGTGAAGCTCTTCCCACACTCCGAGCACTGATGTGGCTTCTCCCCTGTGTGGACACGCTGGTGGATGGCCAGGCCGGAGGAGTCAGTGAAGCTCTTCCTGCAAATAGAGCAATGATGTGACTTCTCCCCAGTATGGATAGGCTGGTGCCGGGCCAGATGGTAGGACCTAGTGAAACTCTTCCCACACTCAGAGCACTGATATTGTTTCTTCCCTGCGTGGATGCACTGGTGCTGGGCCAGGCTGGAGGACTGGGTAAATATCTTACCACATTTGGAGCACTTATATGGCTTCTTCCCTGTGTGGATGTGCTGGTGCTCAGCCAGGGAGACAGAGCAGGTGAAGGTCTTACCACATGTGAGACAGCGGTGCTGATCCTTCCCCCTGTGCAAATATTGGTCCTTGGCTAGGTCTGAGGGGGATGCAAAGCACTTCCCAGATCTGGTGCAGCGGAGCAGCAGCTCTCCAGAATCCATCTTGCAGTGGGCACCCAGGGTGGAGAAACAGGTGAAGCTCTTCCTATACTTCCTGTCTAGGTGGGGCTTCTCCCCAACGTGACTTCTCTTGTGCAGAGTCAGGAATGAGGGGCAGCTAAAGCTTTTCCGACACTCAGGGCAGGGGTGGGTTGTGTCCTGGCTCTTCAGCTCCACAAATCCTTCCCTGCACCCAGGGCTGTCTCTGGCTTCTGTCCCTTCTCCCCTCCCATGCTCCAGGGGAGATGGTGCCTGCTTCCCTGCTGTACTCTCCCTCTGTTGTTGAGGTCTCCCCTGGCTCTGGGGCCATTGGTCTTCCTCAGGTCTCAGGGACTCCTTGTCGCCCAAACTTCCTGGGGAATTCCAGGCTGGCTCCAGATGTGGCAGCCCTTCCTCAGGACTCTGCTCCTCCGCTCTGTTCAGCAGCCAGGCATCTCCTGCATGGGGAAGAGAAACTCTAGGTTACACCCTGCCCTGCTGGCACAGGCCAAACACTGCTATTCCCTCTGCTGCAATGGGGCTGTGAGCACCCCTGGGCCTTGGTACTTATGTTTCCTTAAGAGAACATGGTCTTCCTGCCAAACCCCAAGTGCTGGGGGTGAGGGTGGGCACATGCCTGTGCCAGGCTTATGTTCATTGCGCCATGGAGGTCAGAGCCACCCTCTCATCTGGTACCAGGGTGAACAGCCCCACAATTGATTGCTGGGGCTCACCACCAGTCAGAGATGTGTAGGGAGCTACAGAGAGCTTCGACCCACCGTGCCAATTTCCATGGGGGACTACAAATGCCATCGTGCCTTGGGACAGATTGTTACAGAGGTCTGGCTACCTTGGGCTGGGGAATCAACTCTTACGCTGCTGAATGAAGATGGATATCGAAGATCATGGTATCCCAGGGAAACGAGACCTGTGCCTAATCATCAAGACAGCAAACTCGCCCATCCCCTAGCACAGGGTTGGGCAAAATACGGCCCAGGGGCTGGATGCGGCCTGGCAGGCCATTCTATCTGGCCCGCAGGGCCTCTAAAAAATTTAGAAAATTAATATTAATCTGCCCTGGGCTGCCTGTCATGCGGCCCTCAATGGCTTGCCCAAACTCAGTAAGCGGCCCTCTGCCCAAAATAATTGCCCACCCCTGCCCTAGCAGCTGTAGTTAGGGGGAGAAGGGGGGAACAGCTGCTCATCTCCACAGGTTGGAATTTCAGCGCGTGGAAACAACACCTGCCTGGACACACGACAGCAGAAGCTATTTGAGGTCAGCACCTGGAAGGGCAGCGCAGGGCAGGTCTGCAGGCTCCAGGCACCCTGTCGCTCTAGGCAAGGAGCATGTCCGAGAGGGGGGTCGGGGGAGGGGACCGCCACAACTCACCTGGCGGCAGGGCCTCCAACCTGGAGACGTCC